ACCTCCTATATGTCGTGAGGGGATGGACTTGTGGAGGGTCGTAGTGCCTTTGATATGTTTTCAGGTGTGTGAGTGGCACCAACCAGATCGAGTTATGCGTCAATTTGGTATGGTTCAACATATACCTCGTGGCCCATTCCAGCCAGATGCATTACATGACTTAACCTTGTGAGGGAAGGCATCAGAAAATTGGGAAGAGAAGCTTAGGGATGTGTTAGACATATGGGAGAGAAGGAGATCTTGGGTCATGACTAATGACCCCCAGATTGGTCAGCTAAGTTCAAATTCAAAGTATATGCAGTGGTATAGAGTCGACACTAGACGTTGGATGACAAGGGATGCAGCTGTCTCATCCTTGCTTGTAAGTGTAATCAAACGTACTTATATGCACTCATTTAAGTTTTGTGTTCTTAAGACGTAATGATGTTGTTTAACGTATTCCCTTTCTAACTTGTAGGGTGATGGTCTTGAGAGAGCCCACTATTTGATGACTGATGGCCAGGATTCTTTCACATTTGATGAGATGCGAGACTTGTGTCAGTCTATGCTAGTGTTGAAGAATGATTTAAATTGCATTATAGAGCCTATTTCTTCATCTGATCCTCCGGTACAGAGTGGCAATACTGAGGACCCAGTCATACATGTGAATCAACCTAGCAACCGTAAGGAAGGCAGGGGATTACACCGTAGATGCACTGAGGTTCAAGCCACAGAGTGGTCTCTTCCTCCCATACCTGAGCGTCCTGATGGAGTATTCTACGTTCCATCGCAGTTTTCTTTTCACTTACAGCCAGTGAGGCCACCTACATATTTCCACTCATCTCAGGCCACCCAATATCCGCCTCAGACCCCTCCATTACTATTCATCACCACAGATTGTTATATATCCCATGTCCATCATCATTCATCACTCCGGCTTCATTTCATCCATCTACTCTAACACCACCATCACCAGATCTAGATTTTGTTACTGGTCCATCCTCACACGATACCCCATATAGTCATGGAATTGATTTGAATGCTGACTTCAGATCAGCCTTAGATGTTCCACATCCAGAGGTACGTCGTAACCCATATCGTGGAGCCAGAGATCGACCTAGGGAGTGCATCTTGACACCACATCAATCCGACGAGCCACATGAGGATTGACCTTGACATTTCTTTCGCCCACTACTTGTATACATGACTTATGCTAGTGTTATATTTCTGTTGTTCGAAATGTTTGTCGCTTTACCTCTTAGTGATATGATATTTAGTACTTTGTTTAAATGCGTATATTGTTTGATTTACTATATATGTTCTTAAATGCAGAATATTAATCAATATAATAACATACATAATGAACTAACTTCCAAATAAATATAGCGTACTCATATGAAAATAAACCTAATACACCATTCGACGTGAATACGAGAAGCTTTGATATACTACTCGTTAGGCGAAATAGAAGTACATTGACGTCTATTGTGACCAATTTGATGACATTGACTACATCTTGATCTACTTTGTGATTCAATCCAATCAATTTCATTCCTAATTCGAGTTGATTTTGGTCTTCCTTTACTTCTTATTCTCGTCTCATCAGGAACTAACTTCCACTCACTGCGTGTAAGCACATTACTATCATTTCCCAAGGGGAACCACTGTGATGAATATGCGTTAATGACATTTTGTATGGAGTAAACATCATCAACATATTGCCAAAAGTCAATACTTACTGATGCACAAGCAGCAATAATATGTGAGCATGGAAATTAATATGCTTGAAATCTCCCACATTCACAGTATCTTCTACACAGAACAACAATCCATTTGTTATCGCCCCTTTGTATGATAGGATTAAATGCCTCTTCAACTTCAAATCTTGTTCTTTCTAGATCATAACATCTCACTTGATGTGATAATGCTTCTTCTTGATTTTTCTGCATTTTCTGAAGCAGTTTTGAACAGTACCTCTTACCAGCGTTCAGGTCATTCAAAGCCTCCTCTCCACGCTTTACAAAATATTTAACCAAGTGTCCGTAAGTGCATTTGACAAGAGCAGTTATAGGTAAGTTTCTTGCTCCTTTCAACACCTTGTTTACAGCCTCTGACAAATTTGTAGTCATGTGCCCATAACGACGTCCATCATCGTCATGACTCAAAGCCCATTTTTTTTTGGAAATGTTGTCAATCCACCTCTGTATTTCTAGTGATTCATTGCGAAATCTTCTCAACTTCTCTTCGAATACAATCTTGGTAGGTAAATATGCTGTAAATAATAATTAAGCCACCATTGACAAACAATTAAAATCAAAATAAGTTAAGAGGACAACTTCCAAATAAATAGAGACATTATACCTAATTTCGTCAGTTGCTTCTTCATTTCAATGTTCTTAAATCTATGATTGAAATTGCTTGCTATATGACGAATGCAATAAACATGATATGTATTAAGAGGTTGCCATCCAATATGTGGGTTTGAAACAACACTTTTGATGCTTTGATGCCTATCAGATGTTAAACATAATCCTGTCTTGGTTGTTACGTGCACCCGAATCATTGCCAAAAACCATTCTCACGCTGACAAAGTCTCTCCTTCAACAATTGCAAAAGCAAGTGGTAGGACACAATTATTCTCATCTTGTGTCATTGCAATCAACAATGTGTGACGATACTTACCATACAAAAATGTTTCATCCACTTGAACAATAGGCTTGCAAAAATTGAATGCTTCCTTGCATTGATGAAAACACCAAAATAATCGCTCAAATACTCTAAATCTGTTGTCCTCCTGATGTCTAACAACAAAAGGCTTTGTTTCAATCTTATAAACAGACCCTGAAGCATGAAATTACATGTACTCTAACCATCTTGGCAATGTACCATGTGATTCATCCTAGTCACCAAATATTCTTACTATTGCCTTTTGTTTCGCCTTCCAAGCTTTCTTGTATGAAATTTTATATCCAAATTGACTTGTCATTCTTTCTTGAATTAAACTTATAGGCAATGATGGTTCAAGATTAACCATACCTACAAAACAACAAAACAAAATTGGTTAGTTCTAAATTGGTTAGTTCCTTTATTGTCAAAACGCTTAACCCCATTTACTTTTTGTGCAAAACTTACCAATGATGCATTAACAAATCAAATCTGAATCTAACTTTATATAATCTTGAGAAATTGTTGGGTTGAGGCATGTATGCTTACCCCCACTCCTTGTTATTTTCCACTTTGTTACATTTTTAAGCAATGATGCTCTTATTCTCCAAGGATAACCATTGTTATAGTTTAAACACTTCACATACAACTTTGTTGGCTTTGACTCAACAACAAAATACCTCTGGTGTATTTTCATTGCATATTGTTTTAAGACATTTTTAACTTCCTCTTTGGAGTCAAATAATAAACCCACATGTAACGGATCTCCAATAATCCATGAATTGTCAGCACTAATTTCTTCTCCTTCAATATCTTAGTCTGGGTGGTCCCAATTTACATAATTGTAGTGTGGACTTATATTCCAAAAAGGTATTTCACCTACAACTATATATAAACAGATATTATTTATCATTAAAAAAGATAATTAATTTAATCAATATACTCTACAAATATTACCTCTAACATCCTATTGTTGTAAATTTAAGTTTGAATCAAAATCACCATCTACATCTGTATCCGATGAGCTATCTAACGGAATATGTCCTTCATCAACATCATGATCATCATCACTATTGATTTCATCTTCATCTTCATCTTCATAACTGCATAATTCTGCATATCCTTCAAAATACATACACTTATTCAATATGTGTACTCACTAAATATAAAAAAAATAAAATTTTTAATATAATTTATACCTTCTGTAATATTTATATTCCCCATTTCCATAAGGTTAGGTGGCGACATTGATAAGCTTAAGTCCAACCTATTTGACCCAACTTTTGAACTCTCACCAAATGCAATATCCACATATAATTCAATAACAGTTGTAATACTTTGTTGTTGATATGCACTAATCATACAATTAATGTCTTTATCATCACATATATCTAATGCAGTATATTGTTTAACACTTGAATCAACCATAAAACGACAAATTATTTTGGATATGAAATGATTTTTACTAAGATTCAACTTGTCATTAATCTTTTTTTTAAAATTCATAAGACTTATTCCTCTTTTTATCTTTATCATTTTTTTGCTACCTTCAAATGTCACACCTTCATTTCCAACATCAATTTTTTCATTCCAATATACAATAATAATAATCTCACTAATCCTGCATTTATAAACAAAAAAAAATATCAATAAACAATTATAACACTATACTTATTTATATAAATAATTCATTTAAATTATTATTAACATACACAAATATACTACTACATTTCACATTATTTGATATTACACCATATATATATCATCATATTTATTAATTACACATGTTAATATTAACTATCTAATAACTTCTTAATTTTTTAATCAGCATTTAACTACTTCTATTGATTTTAGTTATTAAAAATATATAATTTCATTAATTTTTCAATAACATAAAAACTCATAAAAATATCTAAAATTTACTAACCTGAATGAACTTCTTCTTTTAAAGCTTATGAACTCAGAAATGCTTCAATCTGATTTCAATTGATCCGCATATGCACTTCATATACTAAAATTTTATTGGATATTAATAACGAAATTAATAGAATTTTGACACGTGTCAACATTCTCTTAATTTTGTCCATTTTTAAGGCAAATTCGTTACGATTCAATATCTTAAAGTTTCATCTCATTGTTATATGAAATTAAAGCCACGTACCCAGATGTTTCATCCCTCTTTAATATGAAATAATCAAATAAAATATAAAAAAATTATTGATTTTTATACGAAATTATGTCTGACGTGGCCCAAACTATCTAGAATTATTTTTTATTTTACCTTATTTTAGTAATTAATTTTTAAAATTACATTATTTTAATCTTTAAGCCGTCCATTTTATCATTTGTTTCTTAAATTTTAGTGACGCGTTGTATTAGACGAGTTGAGTTGCTCATAGAAACTAGTAAAAGTAAAACACATGCAGAAATTGGCAGTGTTGAGTGTTGCTTGGGCAAATGGCAAACAACAATACGATGATGAGTAATACAGAAATACAATTGGATTGCATTTAACAGAAAGTATTTAGGTTGATGGGAATGGGACGGAACAAGAGCGAAGGTGTTGTATCAAAGCAGTCAAGTGAAAGTAAGAGGAGCCATTGGGTTGAACAGCGATCCTTGCCATTCGAGCAAGTTTGTGTGCTCTGATTCTCATGCCCTCAGCTTCTTCCCCAACCATAATACGAATCACAGCCTTCTCAAGAGCGTGGCTGCTTATGCTATCTCCGACAAATCTGGCCCATTTTTGAGCACCCACAGGGACCCCTGTTTGAAGCAATTCAGTGACAAACTTTTCATTATAGAATTGCTCTGCAGAGACAGGCCAAGTGACCATGGCTACACCCGCCGCCACTCCTTCAAGCGTTGAATTCCATCCGCAGTGCGTCACAAACCCTCCAACAGCTTCATGCTCCAGAATCAACACTTGTGGGGCCCAACCCCTTATAATCATTCCCCTTCCTTCCATTCTTCTCTCAAACCCCTCAGGAATCCACTCCTTGTCGCTTCTCCTCACAACCCATATGAAGTGTTGCCCCGATGCCTCCAATCCAATCGCTATTTCTCTCAGTTGACTTTCGCTGAAGTTTGCTATGCTTCCAAAGCAAACGTAAACCACAGAATTGGGTTTCTTGGAGTCTAGCCACTTCAAAATCTCTACTTGGTCGATTGAAGCTTCCTTTCCTCTCTTGCCTTTATCTTTCTCTTCGTTGCAGAGAGAAAGTGGACCTATGAACCACGCTTCCCTTCCCAATATATCCCTGTAATAATCTGCGTAGACCTGCTCCAGTTCGTAAAAGCTGTTAAAAACCACTCCCAAGCTTGTTGCCACGGATTCCTTGATTGCCTCCACTAATCTTGCGAAGTCAGAGTCGGGGTCGTCGGTTTTAGCGTAATCGGGCAAAGCCATCCGGGTCATTTTGATCTGTCCGGGAAGATGAGGAATAACGAAGGGTTCCGAATCGGAAGAAACGTTCTTCTGAGGCTGGTAGAGTCGAACGCATTCCGAAGCACATAATGGGAACGCACCGGTGCCATAAAAGACGAGCCTTGGGATGTTGAGCTTGGCGGCAGAGTGAGTTGCCCAAGGGAAGAAAGCACTGGTAATGATGCAATGTGGAGGGGGTTGAAGATGAAGGAGCAAGTGTTCGAAAGGGGTTTGTAGCATTGTTGTTGCCTTGAAGAAGGCGGGTACCATGGCTGGGGAGGGGATTGATTCAGTGTTTTCGCATCCCTCCGGCAAGCCAGCCTCCGCACAGGGGAATTTTATGGTTCGTATTTCTATCTCTGACTCTGACTCCGAGTCAACGCCTTTCCTTGTGCTCCCACAGATCGTAGCTTCATTCATTGGAGTGGTCACTATGGTTGCCCTCACCCCTCTCGCTCTGAATACTTTCGCCATATCACTCATAGGTATCATGTGCCCAAGACCCGGGAACGGCAAAAACAATATGTGTAGTTGCCCATCCATGTTCCTCACTCCACTGTTGGATACTGTGTTTGCTGCCTTCAACAAATATGTGCGACCCTTGAGTATGGAAAAAGAGTTTGGCAGTGGCGAACTCTTGTGCAGAGAAAGAAAGTGACTTGCGTGGGGATGCAGGCAGAATTCGTAGGCCCTTGCGTCAGCATGTTGGCAATGAAGATTTTCTAACACGCGGCTTTGAATTCTGGACTGGTTCTTAAAAAAGTCGTTCGATAGGAAACTTCTAAATTGAATGAGACTTGGCATCCTGTACTATCCTTTTAAAATAAATAACAAACGACCTCTTTTATTAAATATGTTATATGGCCGTCTATATTTAAAATAATCAATGGTTTAGATTGATTATCGTTAATTATTAATTAAATATTACAGTTTAAACTCTTATTTTTCCGTTTTCATCGTCAAATTTACATCTCATTATCCATCTCTAACCTTAGCTCTCTTATTTAAACTATCATTAAAAAAAATAAGCCATCTAATTATATTTTTATTTAATTTTTATCTGTATTATTGATATTACTAAATTATAATTACATTTTTCGTTCATATAATTTATCAATAATTTTTTAACGCACTATTTTATAATTTTATTTAAATATTAATCATAAATTTTTTTATGTTTTAATATTTTATATTAATATGTTTTATTTATTTATTTTTATAAAATTATTCTATAAATACTACATATTTGATAAATATTTTTAAAGTTACAATAGAGACATAAAATATTTGAAATGATTTATTTAAATAAAATTTAATGTGTTTAAAAATAAATATAACACCATTATTATAAAAATCATAAATATGTGATACTTAATATTATAAAATTCATGAATGTAGAAAAGTAATTTGTCAATTTAGTAAAAATTAATGAATGCTTACTAATTTAAATTTTGACTCATCTTAATTTGATATTTTTTTTTATTTTTTAAGTATAATTTTTAATTAATTTTAGATAAAATAATTTAATAAAAATGATAATGGGAATTTTCATTAGTAATTAGATCAATTCGTGATAGTATTTATTGATGATTTTCTTATTTACTCGAAGGATCACAAAGAACATGTTGAATACTTGAGGATCGTCTTGTAGATTTGGAGTAAGATGCAGATTTTAAGTGAGAGACAGTTGTACGCTAAGTTTTCAAAGTGTAAATTTTGGTTGTCACAAATACAATTCTTGGGACATATAGTGTCTAAGGAATGAATCATGGTTGATCAAGCAAAGGTAGAAGCAGTGGCTTATAGTGGTCAAGACCTATGACTTTGTCAGAGATTCAAAGTTTCCTAGGATTGACTAGCTATTATAGAAAATTCATTGAAGGATTTTCTAAGATAGCACTATCTTGACAAAGCTTACGCAAAAAAGGAAAAACATAAACTGGAATGAAGAGTGTGAGGCAAGTTTCCAGAAGCTGAAGGAAAGGTTGATGTCAGCAATCATGTTGATTTTACCAGAACAAAAGTTCAAGGTTGAACTACCCTACGTATGATTTGAAGCTGACAGCAATAATCTTTGCATTGAAGATTTAGAAACACTATCTCTTTAGAGTAAGATTTGAGGTCTTTAGTGATCATAAGAGTCTGAAGTACCCATTTGATCAAAAGAAGCTGAACTTGTAGATGAAATTTTTGAATGACTACTACTTTACGTTATTCTACCACCCTTAGAAAGCAAATGTAGTTGCAGATGCACTGAGTAAGAAGTATCTACACATATCAACTATGATGGTGAAAGAATGGAAATTGATTAAAGAATTCAGATATTTGAATTTGGCAATGAAAGTGCGATCTAACAGTCTTTACCTTAGAACCTTGAAAATCAGCAATGATTTCTTGATGTAAGTTCAAGTTATACAACAAGAGGATCCGTATTTGTAAGAAATGATGCGACAAAAGAATGAAGGCAAGAACTTGAAGTTTCATTGTTATTCAAATGGGCTTATAAAATTTAAGGATATGGTAATCTTAGAAAGGACGAGAATATGTCTCAGAGAAGTTAGCTCAGATAGAGGATTGGCATGGAAATGACGACTAGGATCATTCTTAGTATTTTTGGGTATAGATAACTACTTATTACAACTAAGTTATTTTGATTTTATAAATCGTGTATATGAAACATAATGTATTTTGGAACTATGATTTATAATTATCAAATTATTGTACATTAATGAAACTGTTATACATGTATTTTAATTTAATTTTAGTCTAAATTTATTTATTTTTTATTGTTTTACTACTTGAATATTTTGTAAACCTAAGTAATAAAGATGAAATTTTTAAATTTTTTTTAACGTTACACTGTGAATATAAGTAAATTTATTTTATTTCCTCTTTTTGATATAAAATTATTTTATAAATTATATAAATAAAATAAAGACGTTACTATTCCCATCCGTGTAATTTCTAATAAAGCATAATTACACGGATTTCTAATAAAGAATAATTATTAAGGTAATGTGTAAACATGGTTACATTCATCCATAAGACTTTAAAAAGTCACATAGTAGTCAGAGCGATAAATAAACAACTTACAAAGTGAACTATTACATCTATTACAAGATATATAAATAACATAACTTTATTACTTTTCTACTACATTGTAGTGGAATCATACATCTATGGTATGAGGTTTTCCTTCAAGTCTATGGAAAATTATGGATATGAAGGAATTGACAGCGCGAGGAGGTCTAGACATACTTCTAGTGCAGCGGGTGTTTAGAAGCAAGATAGTTTCTCTAAAGGGGGAAGAAAGTTGGGGCTCTATGCTCATAGCAAGATAGTCAATTGGGGCTCCACGCTCATAGTCGTTGAACGAGATTATAAAGGTAAAAATAAGGGGTATCATAAAGTGAATTTGTTGGAGAATAAGGCAAAAATAAACTTCAGCGAGGATGATAGTAACCCATCCATGGAAGGTACTGCGATTGTTGGGTCCATGAGTGGTCTACTCTCCCTAATTGGCATCCTCAATATTTGTGAAAACTTTTAAACAACAAACACAACAACATTTTCACAAAACAAAGGAGTGAGTTGTGCTATCAAATAATGTGATTCAAGAAAAGAATAAACAGAATAAATACGTGTAAATACAACATCAACATTGGACATTTACATGTATTTATTCAAAAGTGAATTGTGCAATTTATGAAAATCGATGATTCATGGAAGTACATATGCATATTTTGGTTTGACTTAAAAATAAAGCAATATGCTCATGTGGCTCTTGGACACAAAACGTACTATCCATTGGAAGTTTTTAGATAGTATCGCAACAACAAGTACAAGAAAAAGCTAGTAACTTTTACTAACATTTGAATACAACAGCAAATAATTTTTTATCGGTAAAATTTGTAATGACTAATTTTATTGTTGTTAAAAATTATTTTTTTTTGTAAGGTGGTTTAGAATAAATGGTAGATTGAATTAATACTTCATAAGAAAAAAGTTGTGTAAGGTTATTTAAGAATGGTGTTAAAGGACAAATGTGCCAAATATCAATCTTCTAACAGGCATACAGAGACTTTCATGCAAACAGAAATAGTAGGCAAGCAAAGGTACTTATATAGGAAAGAGTGATGGCATATCCAATCATCAATACATCAAAGTATTACAAAGCACATTGGTATAATATATGTTGCCATCGTCCAGCAGCTGAACCGTGATGTAATGAAGGATAATTACATGGAAAGCTCTCAGATAGTGCAAGGATGTAATACCATGTTACAACCGAACGTCGGAACAACAAATGTAAGAGTTCCAGATCTACTCACCTCAATGCACTAAAAGAAAGAGAAGATATTGCGTACACAGGAGAAAAAAGAGTACAGAGTTAGTATAAAATTAAAAAATATTAACATCCCTCTCATGTTTTCTTATAATGAAAAAGTCGCAGATGAATATTTAATGTATCAATTATATTATCTGTACAGCCAATGAATACCAATCATATAGTTACAGCAGAAAAAAGACCACGTTTTCAGACCCTAGTAATATGGCCTATTCCTGTTAATTGGCTTTAAATAAACTAAAGCATATGCGTCCACCTTCCCACCATCATAATAACACGATCAACTTGTATGTAACAAAAATTATCATATGACTCAGCCAAATTGAAGTAGCAAAAGATTCATATACAATAGTGCAATGCACATAATGATAATGAGACTATGTGAGGCTAGTATTACTACTATAATCAAGGATATGTCAAAGATTTTTATAGTTTATTCTAATAAAGGGTGCCACACGATACAATACAAGAATAACATGTTTATAGGCTGGTGTATGTCACAGAATCATAAAAGGATGACCTCACTTAGCTCTTCGTAATGGAACAAGAAACGAATATCAAGCTGGGCATGCGATGCTTATCTATTCATAGAGCTACCACTTTTTTATTTGGACCAAACTAACATCTTGCTTTTGATGCAAGAAACCAAGTAGTGCGCTAAAAAGCAATCATCATAAATAGTCTTGTAAAAGTGCACCAATAAGTGAAGTGGTGTTTGATGTATAACAACATGTGAATCAAGAAGCCATTTGCAGAGCTCAACATTGAAAGCAGATTAATAAAAGAAAAAGTAAATTTTGGACAACAAAAGCAAATATTTTTGTCACCAACCATGTTTTGAAATGGGGGTCAAGCATACAACTTACTTGTATATATAGAGGGCGACTCCCAGAATAACACACAGCAGAATGATGTCAATACAGAAATTTCTACTAGACCTCATCTGAAGAGGAAAACAAAAATTGCAATTCAATGGAAACTTGCAAATTTTCGCAGAAAGGAGAATTCAATTAATCACGTCAATTACCTCTGTGAGAGTTTTCTTCCGCCTTACGTTGGTGTTTTTCACATTAACTGTTGCTCTATCCACCTGCAAAATCAGGCCATGCACAAAGCACCATATTATGCATTTTTGACATACTTGAAAATTTATTTCTAAAAATTATCTATTTGAACATAGAAAACAATATTGAATGAAAATCTCTTTCACCTTTGTCTCAATTTCATCCATTAAAGGAACTTGCCTATCCATTTCCTGAACACGGTTGGGGTTAGAAAAGAGAAAATAGTTATACTCTTAAAATCCAACATCTTTCAACAAAATCTCCAAACTAAGTTAAATGCACAACACAACACACCTCATTCATATCATGGGCCCAGATTCTTCAAGGTATCCAATCCCTCTGATATAATATCAAGCCCTTCATCCTATACAAATAAAATTTTGAATCATCTAAGATTGTAGATCAGATAGTGACAAATACCATAAAATAACTAAGAAGTATAAACCTCAGGAACTTCTTAATTAAGCAATTAGCATAAACAAGGTAATTGAAATACAAAACGAATCTTGCATGCCTGTTTCATCTTGCGCATTTCATACTCATTTCGAAACTGATTGGATTCTTCACTTTGATGGAAATATTCACTGTCAAGATTTCCCCCTGCAGTTGGGGATGAGAGAGAGAGAGAGAAAGCTATGATTAAAAATCAATTCAAATGCTTCTATTAAATGGGTCTAATATAAGTAACACTAATCACCTGATGAGTCAAACTTGATATTCTTAGAAGATGAGGAAGTCGCCCATCCTCCAGTTTCAGTAGCAGCACCGAAACTACCATCTGGTATTGCTTGGATTCTCTCTGGCAATGCCAGAACAAGATCCTCACGAACGGCCATGTCCTCTTTTGTTACACCTTTAACCTGTAAGTGATTGTATTAGATTAGATTTTCAAATCCAATCATAACCTTTCTTTCCAGTAACAAGGTTAGAGTAGGAAGCATGTATATGACTCGAGACATGGATACGGTATGCACAGATGAGATATGACAAATTTCAAAAATTATACGACTTTACAATGCATAGAATTAGTAAAAAGATAATATAGAAATACAAATTTTAACACAAAAGAGAATTTTTTATTTTAGCAGACGTCATTTTTTACATGATAAAATGATAATATTTATACAACTATTATAGTATTCTCATCTCTATTGATATAAAAGTTTAAAAAATATAAACAAAATATAAGTAAAAGTGTTTGTAAAGCATTCATAAATACGTATTTTGAAGTATTTGTGCTTCCTAACGAATAGCTATGTAACGAGGTTCACCTTCTTGTGCACCAATTTGCGCAGTTTAGGAACTTCGTCCATGAGTCTACCTTTGGTTCGACGACCCTGTGCATTCAAATCCGGAACAATCGGGCCGTTCTTGACTTTTTTAAGACTATAGACGAAATAGAAAATTAGAGCCTCTAAAAAAATTATAAAATATAATAAATAAAATAAAAGTATATATTAATAATTTTATTAAAATAATACATTTTTTTAAGTAGCTATAATTTTTTTTAATAAAATTATAAAAAAAATATTTTTTCATTCAAACAATTCTTATATTATAATTAACTACAAAAACACACAAAATATAAAAAATAGTTCTTTAAGCATTTTGAGATGTAAAATTATTAATGATAACCTTAACATTAATGTTTTTTAAAATTTTTTATCAATTGATAAAATTGTGAGACTATTCAACGGTTCTTGAAGTTTTGATTAACTTTAACTCTAAAAAACTTTTTTCAATTGATGATATAGTCATCGAGACCATAAAAAAAATTTATAAATAATTAAAACATTTAGATAACAATTTGTAGATTTTACAAACTTAATAATTGTTTAAGTTTTGAAGAAAACTAAAATTTTTTATGAGCTTTAATGTTAAAAATAGTAAAATTTTAGAATTAAATAAAGTTTTGAGTTTATAAAAATCAATTAGTCCATTACATTTATAGCAAATGAAGTACAAGGAACTAAAAGGTCTTTTTTATTTTTTCAACTGCAAACTGTTAGAGCTGAATTTTTTTTTAAGTGAAAATAGGATATAATTTTTCTTTTTCCCTCTTTTAAACTTAAGTTCTAGGCGATCGCACCTCTAAACTATAACAAAACGGTGCTTCCTTAAAACTACATCGTTTTCTTATGCAGTTTACATTATTGAAGCCTAGAAAACAAGAAGGAAAGAAAAAGGAGGGAAAGAGATTGGAACTTTGAGAGCGGCTTGAATATTGGATTCAACTGCTACATAGAGGCGAGCAAAGGCGTCATCGCCATAGGCATTGAGCTCCCGCTGCTTATCGATGTCGTATTTGTCATATTTCTGGCAAATTTCGTCAACCCGGACAAGAATGTCAATTACGAACATTATTTTGGTTTCTCCTTTATTTGTTGTTTTGAGGGAGAAAATGAGGAAAACAGGGTAACGTTGTTGGATGAAAGTTTTGTGTCTGTTTGTGTTTGTAGCACAGAACAGAACAAGACAGAACAGCTACTCTGCATTGTTGCATCTCAAAGCAAACAGGGCGTTGAACGCAGAGAACGCTACGCGAAGCAATTTTGAAGACGATAGCGTGGCAATGTCAATGCATGTCTTGCTTCTATTTAGAAATCATTCTATACCCACCCTACTAAATTTTTTCCTCTTTATAAGTTCAACTTTTTTAGTTATTGATATATTATTAATATTTGATTTTGTAGAAAAAATATTAAACATATAATTTTTAATGCATTTTTTGCAGTTAGTTTAATTTTAAAAAATTAAATAAAGATGAAAATAAGTTAGCTACTTATCAGGAGAATGACTTAAAGTTTATTTTCAAATATAATTATTTTTAACCCAATCTTTATTACAATCATTAATTGATTTGTAAGACAGTAAAATTAATTTCTTTTAATTAAATAAGGTTATAGAAAAATTAAAGTGGTTTTTCATTCAAGCAAAATGTTTTTATGCAATTATGTTCTTAATAAAATTAATAAAATAAAATAATAAAATTTTACAAATTATGTTCTAATTTGACGCTTTCTCTTCATAATCAAATTTTTTAACATTTGAGCCCAAGATCAAGTCAAACAACCCTAGAAGAAATGTTTTGTAAAATTTTTAATAATAACGATATTTTATTTTATTTTCATAAGAAGGAAAGAACGTAATTGTGGTAAGTATTGAAAGGGGTTGTTTTGATAAAATCTCATAACATTCCCAAATGTACGTAAGTAAGTTTTGACTTTTGAGGGAGAGACTTAATTGAAGTCACCTAAAAACCCTATTAAATAAAATATGGGTAATTTCAAAATTGAACTATAAAATATTGATTTAGTTTGGATTAAATTTTTTAGTTTATTAATTAAATTATTCATTTTAAAAAAAATTATTTATTATTATATGATTTTTAATTTATTTTTAAATTTAGAGTAAGTAATAGATTTAAAATTGAATTGAATTTATTGAAAAAATAAAAAATTATTAAAAGAAATAAAAAGTTATTCAATTTGAAAAATAGAATCCAAATTAAATAAAAGTAATGCACTATTTATCATACAAATGTTATGATAAGATTACATTAAAAAGTTTACAAAAAAATAAAATAAAATTATTATAAATGTAGTTTAGTTCAAATTTAATTCAATTTTAAGAATAAAATTCGAAAACTGAACCAAACTACAATATAAAATGCAGTTTTTTTTAGTTTTCAATTTAATTACTTTCAGTTTAAGATAAAGCACTCTTATATCTATAGTACATGGAACCAGCTTTCATGAGTGGCATACCGTTCAAAGCACGATACTGGTATACTAGTCAAAATATATTCAAAGAATCACGGCCTCTGAGTAACAGTGTCTTTCATATATGTGTGTTGAACAAGATCACTTCCTGTCAATGACCATGGATAAACTTCAACATTAAAAGTACTTGAAATCAAATTATGACATATTTTAAATTTTTACTAATTGAAGACAATAATCAATGTTCATGAGATGGCCAATACGACATAAAAGTAAGTTGGGTGATGTTGCATCCCCGACATACTGAGAAATAGACGCAATAATAGATCATAGAATCTTAACAAATATACACACGTTAACAATTACCTTCAATGATGCCCTATAGATGTTAAAACACATATCACATAACAAACGAGAAAATCAATTATAGATGTAGAGGGACTAAACTAAAGTTTTGTCTGAAACAAAACACAAGTAACCAAATATAAACAAGATCATTGCTTGTTGCCAAATGCTATCTTGATCCAAGCATATCTCCTTGAAAGCACAAAGTTTAGAAATGTGAAGAAGAGAATTGTAATAACGGAGTGAAATGCGTGTCGCGCGTAAGTTATCTCAAGGACAAATGAAGAGATGTGCCATTGCCAAAGACAAGGTCCTATGTGTTAATGCATGAAATATTGATAAAATTAATTACAACCATTATTTTTTGTTTAGACATTATTTTGTAGAAAAACGTAAGAACTAATTTTCTAACTGTAGATCGAATAAACACTTGCATGCTCTCTCACGCCTTTATCGTCTTTTTCTTCCTTTTCTTCTCATTTACACTGACTTAACAAAAATTAATTATTTGTTTTTTATTTGGATTTATCCCCATAGAGATTTCACACTTCTTATTCTTCTCCTTAATTTAGACATAAACTTTCAATCAATATTTCATAAATAATACTTAATTAATCTATATATTCAAATGCCTCCAAAGGATAACTTATCAAATAGAGGACTGTTGAAGGTTGAAGGTCGAAGGACGACAGAATAAGTGCAAAATGCTGAGATGACAGAGTCTTTTAACATGTTGTATAGCTATCAACGGTAAGAAAGAGCCGGGTGTGTCACAAATACTTTACATTTAGTAAAGTAAACGTTAATATCGTAATGTAAATGATTCCTTGCCTGTGATTATGCGTATCATCTCAAAATTCATAGTAAAACTTTGCCATTTGTTACAACATTTAACAAAAGTATCTCTAAATGTCAGATTTTGGCCGTAACCTGCTCCTTCATTTCAAGCAACGCATCTTCGAAGCATTTGGCCAGAAAATCAGGATCGGGGATGATGTCTTTGGCCACCTGCACTTGCATGTCTGCCCTTCCAGCATAGCTCACCATATTCAATATGAGCGCCTGCATAACAATATCAACCACCCACAATCAACATTAATTACATGCACCTATTCTCGTACTACAAAGTGTGAAGTGCTTAATGCTGTGAGAAAAAACCGAGTTTAGGGGCCATACATGAGGCAAGGCAGAATTATTTGCCCTTAAGAACGTTATAGGATTGCCTCCAATCATAATCTCCTCTTGTGGGCCAACCACATTTGAGATTGTGAAGGTAGTGTGGCAGAGTATCCGGTAATTTAGAAAGCTAGCATACTGCAATTTAGAAATAATATCATTGTTTGCGGGATACTAATGACACTTAAAAATTTCTAGTTTACCTTGATTACCACTAGTTTAAACGAGGTATGAAATAAGGGATGGAAGTGCACCTTTGGACCAAGAGTCGACATTACAAAATCTCCAATTTTGTATGAGAAACTGGCTTCCAAAGATCGTTTCTTTCTGTCGATCATTGCTTTAGCTCTCTTCAAATATTCTAAAGGATCTGAACTGTTGCTTTTGTGGTAATATATAGGCAGGAGAATCATACCAAATTTGTTACCCCATCTTGCTCCTGAATTGCTTCTCATCAAATTAGGTAGCTCCTGATCAGTAATAGTCATTTTTTTCAAGCCTCAGTAAAGTTGTAGAGAAACAGGTAAAGAAGGAAAGTGAATTTGGACAAAGAGTAGACCTGCAATCCTGGCTGCTTTCTTATATTAACCATGGCTAACCCTGTTAGCTGAACACCGTCTCGCAGCCCTTAAAAAAAATTAATTAATCATGATTATGTGTGTCTGTGTGTGCACAAACGCCTTTCTGTATAAGTTCTACAGAAGTTGTTCTTGTTGGAAAATACAAATTAAGTTTACCATTAGGTGCCCGGAAGTCTAGGTATCTTGATATTCCAGATGATATAACTGCAAATAGAACGTCATTTATGGTCTGCAGAATAGAAAAAATTAACAATCACAACTCCACAATAACAAGAAGTGCTAAAAAATATATATGTATGTTCAAACTTCACGGCCCATGCATGATGCTGACAAATAGCTGCATCCATAAATTTGAAGTTGGTTTTCATTTTTCTATCGGATTACTGTGGGTGGTGAAAAGCACTGCATTATCACATATTCCCAGTCCGCTGTTTTGCAAGGCAGTGAAGTAGGGGATGCCTTCACCTCCCAAGAATAAATACTTATCCTTGTTGTATTTTACTGAAAATTCCATCATAAATGTCACATATCACAACCTTGTATTGCAACCTTGTACAATACAAGGTTGTAAATTGTCTTCGATCAATGCATTGTATATTTACATCCCGTGGTCTAAATAAATCAGACAAATAAAGTAATGAATAGTGAATTTAATTCTTACATTGGTCAAAATATTTATGATATTGGTCAATAACAAATATGGGATTGTTGAATTGGTCAAAATTTCAAATGAGATTAATTAATAGCGTTGAGAAATTTTAAATAAATTATCTATAAGCATTTTATATTATTTCAATTTATCGTGATTCCGTCACAGTCTCCTTTACCTCCTTATTTTATTTTACACCAAAGGGCGAGCTGTCTAATAAATCCTCTAACGTTTTACTTGAAATTGTTTACTCCGTGAGGAAATGAAATTGGGAAATATTTGTTTACTTATAGAAATAGAACAAGAAGGGTTTGTAAGAATAGTTTGGACAGACGTAGAAATGGAAATTTAGGAAATATGATGTGAAATTTGAAATGTGTGGCGATGAAATAAGAAGGAATATTACCGCATTAGGAACAGCCTTCTTGACGGACTTCATGTGTTCCAAGGAAAAGGAGGCAGTAGCAATCTTCCTGGGCCAGAGCTGAACCCCAGGGCCACCGGTTATGGCGGTTTGGGAGTCACGAATCCAGAGACATCGAAGGATGAACTGGAGGGAAAAGAGAAAACAAAAGAAGAGGGTAACGAGGAGACTCCAGAGAGTGAAGGGAGTGTTGGAAGAAGAAGAAGAAGAGGTGGAGATGGTAGGGAGGGTGTGAGGGTGGTTGAGCTTCCGGCAGCTGGCGAGGAGCATTGACATCAAGGAAATGCCATCCCCGAGGGAGTGATGGATTCGGAAAATAGCGCACTTGTGGGGCATCAGAAGATGGATTTCCCACAGGGGCTTGTCCACCCTAAGCCCACTGCTGTCGATGGATAAATCCGCCAGGTACTGGTTGATGGCCCGTTCATCGTCCTCGCCCATGGATTCCTCTATCACGCGGAGATGCCTGTCTATGTCTATCTGGGTGGGCCTCCAGTGCTCAACTCCTCTGTGGTCCCGAACCATGAGGCTGGTGAACCTTGGGTGCTGCAGCAGAGTGGAGTTCCTGATTTCTGATCTCACTGACTCCACGTCTATCGGATTCTTCATTCCCACCACGCAGTGGATTATCTGCTTCATCTCTTCCTGCAGGAACAGCCTCCCCGCCGGCGTCAGAGGTTCGTCTCCTCCGTCGCCCTCGCCCATCCTTGTCTCTCTCTCCTCTCCCCTCCCCTTCCCACTCTTCATTCCCATCTCTTTTAATTAAATGTGACCGCAGTTATTATATTATTGGTGGCTGTGTATTTTTAATTTAAATTGCCAAATTGCAAGCCAACAGGAGGAGAGGCTTGGTTGACGATTTCTTTCTCTTTTTCTTTTTCTTTTTCTTTTTCTTTTGCTTCTGCCCCAAACACAAACACCAAAGACTTGATCAACTACTCTCTTGTTTTAATGTTAACGGTCGTTTCATTATTTCTTTCAAATTAATATTCTACTATTTTCGTTTTCAATTTCCTTTTTTTTATTTTATTTTTTTGGCATATCGTTTTCTTTTTTTGTTTGTATTATATAAGAAATGGAGAAAATTATCACGAAAGGTGGCTGGGGAATTTAACACGGAACCTACTAGCGGGTACCAACAGCTATTGAATATGCCTCCATATCGACAGATGTCATTGCCACAGAGAATTTTAACAAAGCGACACTTTTGTGGTGTACGCACCAATTTGACTAGTTTCACGTGCCCAACTGATGCTAAATATCAATCTCTTGTTCATTTAGTTTTAAATAAGTTGTGAGGAAAAATATTAGACTATGATGGGCCACATTAATGTCAAATATTAATTTAATCAATTTAGATTATTACTTGAACCTTTATCTTCAATATTTAATATTTTTTAATCCTTGTATTATCAATTTTTTTAATATTATTATTTATATTTTTTTTTTTCATGCATCACACTTTATAAGTGACATTAGTCTCAAATTTAGATTTTTATTTATAGATTATCAATTATTTTTATTATTTTTTCTTTTAAATACATACATTTTTATTTATTTTTCTCATATATCACACTTTATATTTTATTGTTAAATTTGAAAGAAAAAGATAAAAAAAAGTAAAGATAGATGATTAGTGTCATAAGAATGAGTCACCATGTTAAAAAAATTATGATTCCAGTTTGATTATTTGTTTCATGTTCGGCTCTAAACTTGATTTGAGGAAAAATGTGGATTTATAAATTTGAAAGACAAAAAAAACTTAATAAAACCAATCATATCTAAATTCACATTTATCATCCGAAAAGACTAGGAAAGAAAGAGAAATAAAGATAAACAAAGATGAAACTCAAATATTAGTTAGTAATGCTTACTAATAAAGAATGTGATTAGCACAAGTTGAGTCAATTCAGACAAGGATTTGAACTCAACCCATAAGAACTATCTTTAATTTGATTTAGCAAACCAATGTCAAATCATAGCGATTGTAGAACATCACTATAAGAGATTAAATGATAATAATGTGGCTTAAAAAAAAAGGTAAAGAAAGAGAAGTAGACCATTATGAGTATTGTAACTATGAGGAAAGAGGATAAAAGAGAAAGTAAAGTTTTAAAACAACGTTATTTTAGTATTTAAGGTCACTTATTGGTTAAATTTAATAATTTTTTAAGACGTTTGTTGATCATAAAGACCTAATTGGCCTAATATTAAAATGATGAAATTAAAAATTAAGAATTAAATGTTTTCATTGTCCACATTTTAGTATTTTTTTCATTTTAATTTCTTCAAACATTTTTTATTTTAAAATTTTATTTTTATAAATTATTATTTTAATTTTAATGTAATAAAAAACTAATATTTCATCGTATCTTAATAAATTAAATTAATAATAAAAACGAAGATAAAAAATTATTTCAAAGCAATAAAACTAAAAATTCATTAAAATAAAAGATAAAAGCATTTATAAACCTAATAATAATAATAATAATAATAATATTGAAACAACAATTTTTCTTCGTTTAATTTTAATTTGGTCATTTGTAAGCTATTTTCTTTCATTCTTATTAATTTAGTCTAGTTTTTTTAATTTTTTTTTTTTATCAATTATTTTCTTTTAACCTTTTTTTTTTATCTTCCAACTTTCAACGAGAATGTTTCGGTATTTAATATATTGAATTCATTCATAATGATGGTCAACAGCAATGAAGAAGAGGCCTAAAAGTCGGTAATAACTTTTATGAGGGTTTAGCAGGCATTTATGAGTAGAAGAAGAAAAAACTTTAATTCAAAATATTATCATTTATTTTTTTATTAAGTTGGAAAATAATAAAATTAGAAAAATATTAGTATAAAATATAATTAAATTAAAAATAAAATATTAAATTAAAATTTATTTTATTATAAACGTCTTTATTTTTAACATCAATCATAAAGAATCCGTATATCAAGGCTCAGACTTAACACTTTCGCTATTTAATAATTTTACAAAATTTGACACTTTGGTCACATAAATAAAAGAAAAGACACAGCATTGAGTTTTTTTTCCTGGTCAAGTATATTAAATTTATAAAATTCTATATAATTCAAAAATTATTTAATACAAATTCAATCCTAAACATAATAAATTTATATTAATACTTTATTTATTACCATATAAATACTACTATAGGATATACTTTATTGAATATATTTCTATTTTTTGAAAATTGAGATTATTTTGATTTATATTTTAAATTAATTTTTCATTTATAATAAATTTAATTTAAAAACCTTATATGTTTATATATATTTAAACTTTAATTAATTTTATCTGTTAAATTACAAATTAGTCATTAAAAAAATAGATTAGTGAGGAGAAAAGATATTTGAGTTGCCAAGACACACTAAACAATGATGACCCGTGGGACAGTCTATTAAATCTAATATAGCCAATCTCTTCAATAAGGGAAGAGATTTTTTTCCTCTTGTATATTTAATATAGGTATATTTCTAAATATTTAAAGTTGAAATTATTAATTAAAGTGTAATTACATGACACTAATTGATCTATATGTTTGGCCGTAAATAAATTTACATAGTTTTAAAAAATAAATAAAATTTATATATTTTCTTTTTAAAAATTATAAAACATCCTTATTTGCGAACAACCTTTAAATTTCATAACTTTTTGCTCAATAAACTGTAAATATAAGTATTATGTGAGCCTTTAAATAAACCCATACAAATACAAATACTGATTTAAAAGTTTTTAAAGTATAAATACTAATAAAATCTTAAAAATACTACTTTTTTATTTATATTGAGAGATTGTTTGATAAAAAAATTATTTTATTCTTTATTAGTATTATACTGAACTTTTATATAGATATGTAAATAAAATAATTTTGCTTGACGAAATATAAGAATAGAGATAAAGAAAATATATTTAAAATTTTATAATATATACGTTTAGGTTTTCATATTTTGAAAAGTTTTAAAATAAAATAAATATAACCTTGTTCGTTAATAACTTTTTTAATATTTAAAGAACTAATCTTTATTATTGACATTGATTGTTATATCTTTGGTGAGTCCAATAAAAACAAATCTTATGAAACATAGAGAACACAAGAAAGCTAGTATATAATGTTAGAGGAGGCAAAGAGAAAAAGAAAGCAAGGGAGTGGTAGGTACTCTTCACATAAGTTCATGTTTAGACAAATAATAACCAGAAATAGATCACTTACTTTATTCGGTGACATGCCACTGGTCATATAATTTTTGAATGCAAATAATATACGAATCATGATGTGATTCTTAATGGTTGAAGATTATGGGTGTCATCGTGATTGTGAGTGTGTCTTATGATTAATTCATAATAGTAAGCATGTATAAAGTATTAAAGACTAGTACACATGCTTTTTAGACTACGTGACTTAATTGGGTAAGAGGTTGTGAATAGCCTAAAAATATAAATATAATGTTCAACTTTAATGAACCTCTTCAAATAAGATATTTAGTATTAGAAAGTTCTTTTATATATATACAGTGTATTTTTATATAAAAATATTAAATTTATAGAACATTATCTTAGTGTTGTTATTTTTTTAAAATAACAATGATATCTATTATAAATTATTTATTTGCTTAATTTTTTATTATTTAAAAAAATTGAGTGCTTTTTCAATTTTAGAAAACTTTTCTTAGATAATTTAATTATAAAATCAACACCTAGATTAAAAATTCCAAACACATAATTTATATATACAAAATTTAATATTAATTTAAAATTATTTAATACTTTATTCATATACATCAATATATAATTATAATTTAACAATTGAATCATTAAAAATTATTTTTTATATTAAATTATTAATAATTTAAGAATAAATGTAACTTATACTAATATAATTTAATCTGTCTCCATTCATAAATTTTTCATTTATCTAATTTTTTATTTTTGTTTAATATAAATATTATGTAACATTTATGAAAAATTAAAAATCTTTATATTTTCTTAATGAAAAATTTATTATTTTTTGTTTAACTTATATAGAATACAAATTCATACGTCATACAAGTTGCCATCTATTTACTAAAAAATATACAACATAATTTGACATTTTCTTTTAAAAATAAAAATTTAAAAACATACCAATGATACTAATTTTTAGATATGATAACAATAAAAGTAGATCAAGCCAAGTCAAACTTAAAATTAAATAGATTTGACCTAATTCACAAAATTAGAACTTGAACTTAAGCCTAATGATTTAACATAAACCATATTTTTAAGTTTGATCTAATTTTTTTAGAAATCTAACTTAACTTAATAGCCTATTTAGTAGTTTATTTAACATTAAAGTGTTTAAATAACATTAACAATTTAAATTTAATAGACTAATGGACTAGTAGCCAACATGTTAGTAAGCCAAAAGCTTACGTTTAATAAAATAAAAAAATATACGATAAGTTTTAATTTCATACTTTAATAATATAATTATAATTATTATATTATTATAATATAAATTTTAAATTATGTTATATATGTTAATATATACAAAATTTTAATTGATATTTGTTTCAGTAAGTTTTAATTAGTACTTTAATAATATAATTATAATTATTTAATTAAATTGACCTAACAAGCCTAAAATATTTTTTTAAAAACTTAAGCCTAACCTTTTTATTTAAATAAATCTTTTTAAAATTGAAGCCCAAACTTTCTAATAAATAAGTTGGGTCAGTCCAGACTTTAAATAGATCAAGCCATAAGTCCCAACAACAACCTAACCCATTC